AGCAGATATGCTGGGTTATCTGTCATCCTCTTGTGCAGAAAGAAGGTCACAGATGGATTTGCAGAGCAGGGTTTGTGAAGGGCAGCACAGGCTTCTCAGCTGCAGGGACAGAATGAGGCTTCACGTGTGGGAATATGATGTCCTTTTTTAAAGCAGCCCTACAAAGCAAATCATCCCGTTGTCCATGAGCTCTGTGTGCAGGGTTTGAAAATGAAAGTGGGCTACAGTTCTCGTGCCATGCAGAAGCCGCCTGGACTGCCAGTGAAGCTGTGGATTAAACTAGTCCCTTACTGCTGGTGGTAAATCCCTCGGCGACTCAACTGGTTCTGCTTTAGTTGAGGTCTGTGGTGTTACTGTGTGTTTCTGTTAGTTCATCTTTGTAGCTATTTCTTTTACTTACATACATTAAGTAGTATTGTTTGTAGTGCTAAATCACAAGATCAGACTTCTGTGGACTCTCTAACTGGAAACTAAGCAGCCCTTGATAACCACACACTTTAGTACCCTGTGTACTAAAATTTGTGGGTTTGGCTGTGAGCTGTAGCCTGATTTCCAGGTTTGGTGTGTGTCCTGGGTTCCGCAGTAGCAGTCATGTTTTTCCTTTGTGTTAACTGGTGCAGTGCAGTGTTTTGACTTTCAGCTCGGGAACAGAGCTGATAACAAGGATATTTTGGTTTGGCCAAGGACTTTGTGAGGCTCATGCTCTGCCAGGGAGGAGGGGAGGCTGTGAGGAAGCAGAGATGGGGCGCCTGACCCACGCTAGCCGGGGAGGTATTCCATACCACAGCACGTCATGCCCGGGGTGAGGGGTAACTGGGAGTTACCCGGAAGGACAGGGGCTTCCGGGTGGAACTCGTTTTCTTGGCCGGTGGTATCGTATTCTCTTCCCTTGTTATTTTCCCTTATCATTGTTGTAGCTGATAGTAGCGGTGGTGATTTGTTGCTGGACTGTTTTTGTCTCAACCCGTAGGAGTTGCACTCTCTCGATCCTCCTCCCCGTTCCTCCGGGAGCGGGGAAGGGGAGAGCCCCGGTGCAGGGAGGCGGGGGGGGGAGACGGACACGGACCTCGATTGTTGTCAGCTCGGCACCACTCACTGGGAGTGAGTGAACAAGCTACCTGACTGGGTTTAAACCACGACAGTGTGCAACTGTACTTGTGGTGTGAAAGTATCTGTTATGTTTTATTAAAGTGCTTTCAGCATATTTGATATTGAAATGTAGTGAAACCCAAGTAATTGGTAAAGCCTATTTGTTAACCACACTGAAGAATTTTTGCTATTTCCACTGAAAGTACTGTATGTATATGTGCTTTACAAAGAAATCTAAACTTAATAAAATGGAAATAACAAATCTATTGAATTACATCAGACAAACATTTAGAGCAATTCCTAAATGTAGAATTTTAGAATAAACTGCACTATAGCCCCACTACAGTAAACTAATATTAGTTTAAACGTGTGCTTCACTTATGTGTTGCATGCAGTGTCATTAAGTGTCTTGCTAAAAACAGACAGTTGAGTTGGTGCAGCCTCACGGAGTGATCCTAAGTGCTGCACAGAGCCAGGCCTAGCTTGATAGGGAGCAGGGATGCGCCCTCAGTTATCCTGCACCAGCCACCTCATTTGCAAAACAGAAGCATGTTTCTCTAGTAACCCTCAGCTGATAACAAATGAAGAACAGTTTCTTGTGCCAACTTATTTCTGAACTAATGCCATTGGTTAGTTCAGCTTTCAATACCCCTCAACAGTGTTGTTTTTCATTGTTATTATGTATCTAGCAGGTTTGAAAAGTAGATTGAGTAGATTTTAATACCTCCTTTTCTATATTTTTAAGGTTCTAAAACTTACCAAAAAAAAAAAAAAAAGTTGATCTGATGGAAGAGTAGTTAATTCAGGCCCGCAGATTTTGGCACTATCACGGGGGAGGTGATCTTAAAAACGTACCTTGTCAGTTTGCTTTCTCAGTATCAGAGAAAAAATACACTCCCTTTGCCATATGTTGTTCCAGAGAAATATTTTCCCAATAAAAAGGAACGTTTCCTTTCACAGTAAAAGAAAATTTAAAAATCTTTCAGCCTGGCTTGGCAAATAATTTCTCTGCCTACTGGTGCCACCCCATTTTGCATGCTGATGGTTCTGAGAGGAGCTGCCAAAAATGTTTTGGTATTAAAAATTATAAAGGAGAAATGAAATATGCAGCTCTCGGGGTTCTCACACTGCTTATGATTCATTTCCTGAAATATGAGAGTGACTGGATTTGGACTGGTTTTGCTCAGGCTGTGTATGTCATGGCAGCATGTGAAGCTATTTTAAGAGCTCTTCCTACTCACTGGCCCACTGAAGAAGCTGGGAAATATGTTTGTTTGTCATACATTTTAAATATACTAGCATAAGGTTACCATAAGAGAATACTAGCATAAGATTAGCTAGTTAGTTAGTTAAAATTAGGAGGGCCTTAAAAAATACATGACAGTAGTGCTGTTTGTACAGAATTTTTGGACAGGTTACCATCTACTCACAGTTAATAGTCATGTGCTTGGGTTTTTTCCAGACTCCAGCAAGCCCTGCAGAAATGAGAGAATAAAAATCTCTTTTCCAGTTCCCTACATTCCTCATCAATCGCTGTATAATTACAAGAACACTAATAATTTAGAAAATTATTCTAAAATAAGAGCATTAGGTTTGAATTTGATGAATCATGAACTGAACTGAGGTGCTGTCTTCTGTTTCTATGTTTTTACGATAGGGTTTGATGTCACTTCAATTAAGGTGCTGTAGTTTTATACGTACGTTTATTTACATAAGTGAATCAGGATGCAGAAGAGGAGTCTGTATTCTACCATTTAGCTATGGCTTTTTTTTTGCACTGTTGCTATGAAGAATCATGTAAATATTTGTATCACAAATTAATTCTACTTCCCTTATAGATGGCATGGAAATACAGATGAAAATGGTAAAGAAGAATTATTGCAGGTGGGGTTTCTCATGCAGAGTAATGTTCTGGAATGGGTTCAGGCACAGACTAGCAGCAGAGGAAAGATAGTGTTATGTTAAAGAAATCTGGTATCTTTGTTATGGGATAGAAATTGAATTAATGTGTCCACTGTATTTGCAATTTCTTTTTTCCATTTTTTTAAATTGTATTATTAGTTATTTATCTTTCTAATAGCTCATATGTACTGGGACATTTGTATAAAATCAAGTACAAGCATCCAATGAAGAAGTTTAATTCAGAAGCAGATGTCTGTCCACCACTGGGTGGATGGTATGGAAATTACACAGGAGTTCGAAGCTGCATAAGTTATTTCTTCATATGATCACTCACATTTTTTCATGTCCAGTCTGTTTCTCTGCACATCTGCCAAAATTGCCTTGAAGAAGGCAGTTGTGCCAGACACCAGCCTATGGCCTCCTGAATTGCAACATTTCCTTGCCTTTGCTCCTTTGCTCCTCATCCTGTCCTTTGGACTGGTCTCCATGAAGTCTCCTTCCTATGAGTGTTGTCTCTACCTTTTTCTTTGTGGACTGAAGTCACTGAATTGCTCTTTGCATATCAGGTTGCTTTCCAGGCTTCCAGATGTTACAAGACCCTTAGGTGGTAGCCCCAGGTGGTGTGTGAGAAATGCCTTTGGCACAGTTTAAACTCTGCTTTCATTGCCTCTAAATTCTGTGTTATGAAACATCCTCTTCAACAAAAAGCTTCAAAGAGTGGCTCTGGTTTCTCTTACTCAGCAAGTATTTTCAACACCTGGAATTGTTATTCTGATTTCACATTGAGATCTCTCTAGTGATGTCCTAAGGTGATGAAAACAATAATGGTTAACAACAGGATTGTAAATAACACATACCACCATAGCAGTCTGCTTCCTCTCATATCACAGGATGTTTTTGTTCAGTTCAACAGCAAAAGAAGAAAAAATGAGGGCAATACAGAAATACTGAATAAGAGTTACAGCTTAACAGTTGGGGCAGTGTTATGTCAGTAGTTCACTGACCTTTTAAGGTCCTTCAAAAACTGAAATATTTAAGGCTGCCTTAAATCAAAACCCCTCTGCAGCATTGGAAACTTCACGGTGAGCTTAAATTTTACATCTCTGAGAATGTGCCTTAAAAGTGTGCATACCACTTGCCCAATAGGTAGATTCTCCTGCTGACTAAGCAAATTGTATTCATGTCTTCATAATGAATGTTTGCTCCAAGAAGTAATGATCAGCAACTTAATTTTTAATCCCATTTGTGTCTGAGAGTCTGGTATCACAGTCCTTCATTGTGGTGAGCATTTTGCTTATCTGAATTTGTCTCAAAGGAGTATCCTGTATTTTAATGTAACTGTGATTCAGAGAGAAGCGTTCTTAATTCCAACCTGGTATAGATGTCTTCCTAAATGTAAGGGTGGATTTCCAGTGAAGCCCATCAGCTCTACCTGTCTGTGCTTACTGCTGCTGTTTAGGGAACAGCCAGCACTGCCTAAGGAAAGGTAAAGTGGCTGCCAGTTCCCCTGAGCATAATCAGGCTTGACCAGAGATAGAGGCTGGGAGTCCCAGGAGCAGCAGTGGCAATGCCAGTCTGCACAGTGCACTGTCCTGAGCACAGGTACTACCTAGAGGGGCAGAAGACAGTTCCCACACAGCAATGATTTCCTCCAGCCATTTTGCCATTCTTGCAGCAGCTCCCCCCATCACAAGCCTGAGGGAGAGGGGGCAATTTCAGCGTGAGGCATTATTCATCACAAAAATAATGGATTCATTAACATATAAATTGCATCAACATTTGCTGAATCTTTTGGTGGAAAAAGCAATACCTCTGTTAAAAGTGTGTTTTTTGTAAAAGTCAGGCACAAGACTGGCAGGCTTAGTTTCAAATCTGGATTTCATGTTTTTGTGTGGTTTTATTGTTCAGCTGGTTCAGAAGTGTGCTCCTTTCTGATTCTACTGATCTGTGCAACCTGTCACACTGCCCTTGCACTCAGTTTACCTTCTCTTTCTCCCCTTCTCTCACAGCAAATGAAGCTTACAGTTGAGTCACTGAAGGAGTAAACATGAAGGAATGAGGATGACTAAAGCAGTCACATGTGGATGCCAGCACCACTTGGGCGTTTGTTTATGAGGATGTGTCACTCTCAGAGCATGCATTCACCATCTAATGAGTAGGTGACACCTGCCTATAGGACACTTTGTAAATATCCTTTGCCTGACACTGTAAAAAAAAAAAAGTATTTTCTCCTGCTCCCTTTGTTTCTTATATGCAACCATTAGTGAAATTAACACCGAATAAAGGACTGCAGCTTACACTGGTTGAGATCTGCCAGGCTCACCCTGCTTCAAGTGATTGAAACCAGATCCTGTGAGTAAGCATCCAGAAGCTCTCTAGAGTTTTCAACTGCAACTTTGTAAAAAGAACAAAAACCAAGAAGGTTGACTAGTATTTAATTCAGTGTATTGTCCTTTTGGGGTTACTGCCCCTTTTGTTCCTTTATTACAATAGCTTATCAGTCCTGTATTATTTCAGACTTACTTATTAGCTACTGTTTGCACTTAGCAAATTAATTTACATCACATAATGAAATACCTGTTGGTTCTTTGTATGATATGAGAAGTAGTTGAACATAACTATTATAAAGTATGCATTATACACCCCTGTGTGCTAGCTATCTAAATAAGGCTCAGCAGGAACCTTTCCAGAAGCTGGGTGGAACATATTCAGGGGGAAGCAGATTGCTGTTCAGTAATTTATGAAGTGTATTTATTTTTTAATTTACACTAGATTTTGGTATCATTTCCCTGAATTTTGAACTGCAGTATTGTATGAATGCATCTGCTGGTTAAATGAACTGATAGTAACAGATCAGTTAAACTTGGCACTTGATATACCAGTACTTGTGTATGTAGTGCATATATGACTTTGTTCCTTGGTTTTCACAAAGTAGTTTTCCTAATGTTTCATAGTTTTCTGACAGCAGTAGGACCAAAATCTACAGTGTTTGCTCCTGTGACCTTGAGACAGTTTATTTTCTCACACTGTGACCTTCATCTTTGGTACATGTAACTTATTTCTATGCAATAGTAGAGTTCTGTTGGAAAAATCTGCTGTTACAATAATAAAGGTATTTGCCAACTTTGCACATTTCAGATTCCTGCCATGGCAGTGATCTCACTAAGCCAGAATAATGTATTCTGTCTGGAGATTAAAATTAGTGTTTCTCAGACTCTGCAAGCATGACCCAGTAAGGAATGACTCAGTTCCTTTGGGAAGAGGAGCAAATCTGTGCCACAGCTCTGTTCTTGCTGCCCCACTGTGCATCCCCACACTGCTGCTATTTCAGAGGTACCTCAGGGCTGCTGCTCTTTCACAGCCTGTTCCTGGAGCCATGGCAGGGATCTCTAGGAGAGCACATCTCCCTTCCTGCAGCACTGTAGAGATCCCAGACTTGAAGCTTTTCTGAGGAGAGGACCAGCATGTTCTCCATGAAAGCTCCTCAGCATCGCAGTTTCTTGCCCACTTGATCTGACGTAGCTTCACATTTGCTCCTCAAGTTTTGCTCCTGCTGCTTAGTCTGTGTTTGAGTGAACACATCAGGAGAGGAGAAATCTGTGGGATGGGTTCCTGGTGGAATATGTTCTTGTGAGCTTGTCAGAGCCATTCTGAAGGGATTCTGCTGGTCTGCTAATTTGTGCTGGTTTGTGAGTGTAAAGCTGGTGTGCTTTGCTGATGGCAGCTGTATCAGGTGTCTGAAATGATTTTCTGAGATGGGTTAGAAAAGGAAAAAGGGTAGGTATTTGCAAACTGACTTTGTGATTGTCCTTGAGGTCCTTCCGTTCTCCTATTTTCTGTAGACTAACAGGAAAATCTCTAGTAAGGTTTAAGTACTTGGTGACATAATGAACCTTAGCTGTTGCCCTTGCTTGGGGCAAATCCCTTCACTTCCATTTAGTTTCCTTGTCTATGAATGGGGATAATACTGTTGTTTATGTGGATTCTCCTAAAGCTAGTGGGTATGGAGGAATATGACCTTGACAGTTGAGTCAGCAATATGGGAATTCTTTGTTTTATTGTTAGTTTGCACTGGATAGGGGTAGAATTCTTAGTTTAGAGCAAAAACAGATGCTACAGTTATGACAGAGCGGTGTTTCTGTCCTGGAGAGTGTACACTTTTAAGCTTGCTGAGGAATATTACTTGTATATTGCTATATAACATTTTGTCACTGAACTGAAATTTATCTTCCTCTGTACACTGCTCTGTCCTTTCACTGGGCTGCATGTATGTGTTTCTGTGTTTTATACTGTTTAGTATTGGGTTGATCCTGGCTTTTGGTTTTTACATTCATGGTATCATCTATTTTCATTTCTCATTTGAGAGAAAAATTGTTTCTGGCTGTGCTTCTGTCTCTACTTGTTTTTCTTTCTGCTGTTTTCTTTCAGTCTGTAAAAACTGAATGAAACTCCAGACAAAAATCTGTTTTCAGATGAAAGTATTAGGAAGAATAAATAAGAGATTTACCATAACTGCCATTCACAAGCTGTGTCATCTGAATGTGTGCTCTTAGTGTAGGTAACTGTGTCCCATGCTCAGGTCCCGCTGGCACAGAACTAGTAGGAGGCCATTGAGCTGGTTTTCTCAAGGTGCAACAGCAAAGGGCACAGTGGCTGAGGAAAGGCGGCACTGGAATGAAAGGAAACAAATCCAAACAGGTCAGAGGTGTCTGGTTCCTGGTGTCTTCTGTCTTCTTCCCTAGGGGTACCAAGTAGTTGGTGTGCAATAGTTGAAGCTGCATTGCCGTTCAGGCAGACAGTGGTGGGTTCCTGCACGTAGGTTGTGAGCCACAGGTCTAACTGCCCTGTGCCCCAGAGGGATCTGCTGACTCAAGAAAGATCTCTGCTGTACTTGCTGGCCTGTAGAACCTCCTGCAGACTTGAGGACAGTAGAAAACACTGGGAACATTGCAGCACTGGGAACACTGCATGAGGAAAGTTTCCTCTGTAGGCAGGAAAGCAATTCTAGGTACTTTAGCTTACTTAGGCCTGAGGGATTTGATCTCAACTCTCATTGGGAGCCTTGCACTGGTTGTTTACTTCCTTATGCCAATAAGCAAAGCCAGTGGGAGCCATGGCTAATGCCACCATGTGCCTTCTTCGGGATCTGTGTCCCCTGCCTTAGCCAGGAGGCTGACAGCAGAGCCCAGCAGCTTGCCTGTCAGCCTTGCACCTGCTGCTCCATATTAAACGCAGCAGTGATGGCTCCTGTCATCGTGGTGTGATGAGGGCAATCCTGGCATGCCCTGAGAGCTCATCAGCCATTTCTTCTGGCTCCCAGGTCTGCAGTGCTGAGCTGAACCTCTCCCAGGCCTGTGGCACACAAGAGCCCAGAGAGGAAAACAGATCCTTCCCCTCTGCCTCCCCCAGCCTGGCATTTCTCAAGAGAGAGTAGCAAGAGGGAGGGAATAGGAAGAGGTTACACAACAGCTTGCTGAAACCAATTGCTAAGATCTGACATGACACATCTTGAGGGCCTTGTCAAGTCGTTACGAAACCCCCAAGCTTTACAGGTCCTCTAAAGCATCAATTTTTTCATGCAGTATAATTCTTCTCCCATCTGGGAAAGTAAACAGACATCATCTGGATTTTTTTTTTCCCTGAGTATAATAGACTTTGTTTTGTCACCACATCAGGATTCTTGACTTACAGAAATCGATGTCAGTTGTAATACGGACAGATAGGCTCACCTTGAGTCACCTTGTTACAAGTAATTACAGTTTTAAGCTCAGAAACAAAGTAGCCAGAGGCTGTGCTTCAAGGAGGGAACAGCCATGGCTCCGAAGAAGGGCAGCGCCGCCCACACTGTCCCTGCATGAGGGAGCTGGGCTGGCTTCAGCCAGGGCCCACTTGACAAGTGAGTCATTGTTACACTTTCCCAGGTACAGTCACCTCAAGGTGTTATTACTCAAACACCTTTTACTGACAGCAAGTGGTAATTAGGAATTAGTGGCAGACAGATCTGATTCATCCATGTAAACCAAACATGGGAAAGGCTGTCAGCATGCCTTGACTGTTGCTAATGTTTAGGACATCCTGGTTTACCCCTGGTCTCTGTTTATGGTTGGCCATGTACCCTGGGATTGCTGTATAACCAGCTGGCTAATGAGAGATTACTGCATGTACCAGCTGTTGAGATGCTGCTGCTTGGCCTTGGTGTCATAAAAAGGCAGGTGGTACAAGATTTGTCACCCATTTTATTGCTCAGGCACAGTCCTGGCCCTGTGAGGTCCTTGGTGGCTCCATGCCCACTCCCACCCCTGCCCCATTTACATTGGCCAGAGTTGGGAATCTCGATCACCAGCAGTGGCCAAGGTCCCAATTGCAAGAGCCTGTGGGTACAGCCTCACACAACCAGCCCATCATAAAGCAATCACACATTAATTGTGTGTAATTACCTAACCTGCTGAATGTCATTAATCCCAGTGAGCATGCCAAGCACCTGGTGTCTGTGCCATGCCTGGCTGGTTACAGCTCTCGTTTCCTGAGCAGTCAAAACCCTGCAGAAGAACTGGTGGTGCTGAGGGGTCCCAGTTGCATCTCACCAGAGATGGCTCCATGGGGCACTGGAGATGGTCCCAGAACCCTCCAGCCCAACCCAGCACTCCACACACCAGCACCTGCCCTCTCCTCACAGGGCCCTGGAAGAAGCACAGGAATGAGCAGCACATTAAGGCATGGCAGAGTGCAAGTGAGGAGGGTGAGAGCACACGCCTGGACTTGAGCTTTGGCATTGCAGTTGTTTATTGTGGTTGTTTATTGCAGTCTGTCTGCTCTGACTCCACTTGAGATTGAACACTCAGGAGCAGAGGTTTTCCAGCACGTGGAGCCCAAGTATTGCAGCACAAGGCACTGTGGTAAGAGGTACTCTGTGAAGCAGTTGCTGTAATGAGGTGGAATTAACTGCAGGGATGGTGGTACCTGTTGCAGGAGCAGAGCAACAGGCAGAGCTGCCTCTTATACTGCAGTGCTGGAACTTGGGTGCAGCCTTAGTGTTTGGCGTGGCGTGCAGTCACGCATGCCCCAGTTCTACATCTGGGTTTTTACCACTACCCATTTCACATGGCGAACAAGAATAATACTGGGTTAGGTTTGGGTTAAAAACAATCTATATTGCTGGAACTTCAACTTGCATCTTCACACTAAATAAATCAGTACTAGATGTCAGAAGCACCTCTGCAGATCAGGAAAGAGGTGTACAATCCACCCTTCATCTAACAAGGGAACCACCCTGAGGCAGGTGAAGCACGCTGCTTTCCCCA